ATGGCAGTTAAGTGACTTGCCCAGGTCACACAGTCAGACCACACAGCCAGAGCTGAAAATTGAACCCAACACTCCCACGTCTTATCCACAAAACATCCTTCTTCCGCTGTAAGATAGTCACTATGCCATGTGAAGACAATTAAAAAAAAAAAAGTAATGTTCAATTTCATGATAAGATGGCCACTCCCTACCCCAGCCAAGCAATGCATTCCATATTATTCACCTCTACCCCGATGTAACGTGACCCGATATAACACAAATTTGGATATAACGCGGTAAAGCAGTGCTCTGGGGGGGCGGGGCTGCGCACTCTGGCAGATCAAAGCAAGTTCAATATAACGCGGTTTCACCTATAACGCGGTAAGATTTTTTGGCTCCCGAGGTCAGAGTTATATCAGGGGTAGAGGTGTAGTTGTCTTTGGAAATTGTCCCTTCCTGGTGAGGGCAAAGGATTATTAAATCTAGTGTTTTACATGCTACAGTATCCAGATATTGATCCATTGTTGCATTTGGATATACATTATTTGCACCAGCGCATCAGTCAGGAAGGGGGACTTCTCTACATTTCAATCAGAAAGACATATCTCCTTTTATTTACATAGCTACATGCCTCTCAAGTCTGGCCTGGCCTGGCCAGGCCCTTAATAACATTGGCTACCATGTATATCCTCCCTTCCATGCCTATCTAAACAAATCACTTTCCTATATGGATCTTTTTTCTGCCAGACTGTAACAGTGATAAGGCCTGGGTCTGAAAATTCTTCCCCAGCAGCGGCCAGAGTCGCAAACTGAAATTAAAATAATGACTGAGAGGTGAGGGACTGATGCACAAATTTTACCTTCCCCAGTGGCAACCTATGAGTTGAGGGCAGGTGCGCAGTGCTGGGTTGACAGTGATAGGGGAAAGGGTGGCTTCCTGGCCAGGCACAGTGAACGGTGGATGATAGCAGGGTGGAGTTGATGGGCTTTGAAGAGAGAACATTCAGCCACACACGGTGAGCTCTACCTGGAGACCAGAGGGTGGAAGTGACAAGTGCAGGAAAGGGACTTCTGGCAGAATCTGCAGGACTCTGTCATGAAGACAGGGGGTATTAAAAAAAATGAATGTAGCATTTTCTCCTACTTCTTAACTAGGGTGATTTAGAAAGAAGCTGCATCCATCCCAGGTGTAAGTTTTGCACTCCCGTTACAACGGAGAGATTTGGTCCTGGGAAGCTCTTGTGAAGTGGCAGGGCACAAAATTTGTCAAACTGAAACGCGTAGTCAGAGCACAGGTTCCCCGGGCCACTCCATTTCACACGCTGGTTTGCAAGAGGAACAGCCTTTTGGGATTCTCAGCCAGCGCCTGCCTCAGTCTGTGCATTCTCCACCTCCCTCCTTCCTCCCAAACCCCAAGACTCTGTGGTCCCCTGGAGATCAAGTCTGTGCACCATCATTTGAGAACCTCTGGCCTAGAGCTTTAGCATCCTTCTAGATACCAACAAAAGAATGCGAGAACAGGCTTCATTCTCCATGAAAACAGCCCAGTTTCTTTGCTCACCTTGAACGGCTTACGCCACTCCCCTGCTCCAGCTATATTCACTGCACAAACTCTGAGGAGATACTCCACATTGGGGGTTAGGTTCCGCAGTTCAACAGAGTTGCTCGCTATTTGGCAGAGCTGATAGCCAAGTGGTTAGGGCGTTCGTCTGGGATGTGGGAGACCCGGGTCAGGTCCCTGTTCCATCCGATTCAGAGCAGGGACTTGAAGCTGGTTCTCCCACATCCCAGGCATGTGCCCCTGCAGCCCAACTACTTATGCTGGGAACCAGGAGCCCCTTGCTTACTTCTCGGGACAGTGCCTATGGTGAGTGTGAAGAACTAGAAAGCCAAGTTAAACACTCAAGATGGGGAAGGAAAGGGAATGAGGCCCTCTTGGAGTTGAAACTTTTGCTGGAGCGAGTCGCAATTTTAATTTCCTCTCCTACTGCCCAGTTCACTAGCTGGGCAGGTGGTTTTGCTGTAGCTCTGTGTTGGAGATCTAGAAAATCCAGGCAGAGAGAAACTGCAATAGTCCACTCATGCCCCATGCCAATGGATTCTGGGTGTGTCATGGAGGAATATACTGGCCCAAGACAAGGAGGTGGGGAGGGAGTGGGATGGCTACTTGCTCTACGAGTGCCACCTGGCAAGTCGTCCTACAAAGTAGCCACTTTCAGGGACCAACACAGCTAAGGAAAACCATGTTCAACTTCCAGGGAAGTACACTCCTCAGACATTGATAAATTGATTACTGACTGATCCATTATAACTCGTTGATTATAACTCAGAAATCAGGATGTTTGCTTTTAATGCGAGATGCATCCTTGTACCATGGCAAAGGTCACCCTGTTATTAAAGTAAACCAGTCTGAGCTGCTTCCAGTAACACTCTACTGAAATGAGCCAGACATTTGTCCATTGACCTTCAGATGATCTCACCTCCTGCCATATTTAAAAGAGCTGGTTAAATAGAGACCCAACTTCAATGATAGCCAATGTCTGATGCTTACCTGGAAGGCAAAAATACACCTAATTGTGCTATATAGTAGGCAAGAGAAAAACCTCCTTACTGACCCTCTGCAGCAGTCAGCCTAGGCCCTGAAGTTTGATCTCCCCTATTATCAGTAGCATAGATTCTAAGCTGGCCAGGAATTTTCTGGCCTAATATTTTTCACAAGAAGGTCTGGTTTCCACAGACACTAAGTCTTCCTTGGGAAAATGTCGGTTTGAATGAAATTTGTTTAGATTTTCCAGCCAAAAATATCCCCTCACCTCTACCTGACCCACCATGAAGAGACTCACACCTCATTCTAAACTATGCACTAGGCTGCCTGGCATGACTGTACCTCCCATGATGGACTGGCCTCTCTGAGTTGCTAGGATGCATCGTGGGAGGTGTAACATGGCAGAACAGTCCAGCCCTTAGAGGAGAATGGGGGCACGAGGCACCATGGTTCAGGTGGATCCAGATTGAAGTTGAATGGATCCAAAATTAAATGTTTCAAGTTAGGTCGAAAAAACAAAAATGTGATGTTTCAATTTGGGAATCTCATCATGTCTCATTTTGATTGAAATGTTTTGGTGTTTCTGAATCCCGAGTTTCTGAATTTTCTAGAACTTTTTGTTCCACACAGAGTTTTGATATTTTAAGTTTTTGGCCCTATTCAGAACAAATAAATATTGGAATATGAGAATTTCTTCTGGGATGGAAGTTCCATCTTTTGACGTGTTCCAGTAGCTAATAGTCAGAAAATTACCCAGACCATCATAAAAATCCAGCAGCGTTTGCATGATCTCTCGAGACAGCAAATTCTACAGACTGTGCCTCAGGTAATTGAGAGAAGGGAGAACAACAAAGCTGACATCATTTACAGTGTGCTCGCAAATGACTACTGGGAACTAAGCTTTTATGGCAGGTTTATTTCCAACAGACACTCTCCAAACAGAATAATTCTTGGTTTAAATCCTTATCCACTAAAACCCCCACATAATTCCCAAAGAGGAAAATTTAGGATTTGATAGGAATTTGTAATCTGCTATTCCAATTGTCCAAGAGATCCTGTGATTTTTTTTATTATATATATATATATATTTTAAAGCCACATAATCATATACCAGTCAAGGAACCAGCTACTAAAAATGTTATTTAAAAAAAAATACTGCCTTCTCCATTCCACAAAGCAGGCCTGTCTAATGAAACACTGAGGGAATACTGAATTAATATTTCATAAGTGTTGATAAAGAGTTGAGAGTGCTTCAGTTACTCAATAAGTATTCTCTCTCGGGCCCCGGATAGTTTAATGAGTGCCTGAGAAGCTGTGGTGAGCAACGATGAAGCGTGAGGAAATCCCCACTTTCCTGCACTACTGAGCCACTTACCAAACTGAAAAGATCTTTGTCCTCAATATTTCACTTAGGCTCAGAGTTTAGACTCTGAATAAATGGTAATGGCTCCCTATTAATGTCTAGGATGGTAGTGCTTTCAGGCTGACTCCACACTGGCCTTTGGCATTGCAGCTACCTACATTTTTATTATAGTGGAGAACAAGATTCTAACATTTGATGTTGAGATTCAAACCGGGGAGCTGTACAAAATATTCACACTGAACCGCGAATGCAGACACCTTTAGCCTGGATACCTGGATTTGAAAGTCTCTCTGGAAGTCAATTAAGTCAAAGAGGGAGGGAGCATGGATTGGTGGGGGAAAATGAAGGAGAGGCGTTTGATGTCAGATTTATAACCAAACACACACACTGGTCATTTGACTTTGAGACCCTTCAAACTAGGGTGACCAGACAGCAAATGTGAAAAATCGGGACAGGGGGATGGAGGGTAATAGGAGCCTATATAAGAAAAAGACCCAAAAATCGGGATTGTCCCTATAACATCGGGACATCTGGTCACCCTACTTCAAACCAAACTTAGTTAAGATAGCAAACCCCTTCACAAAGGCCACATGGGTCTAATTTGAGAAACATGCAGACAAGATATAAAGAGAAAGATCACTCATCTACGGCAAGTGACAAGGTGACAGCTAAGCAAAACTCAGCTGCTTCACCCAAAGGGCATATGAAAATATTTTGATATGCATGAGTGTGCATCTCATGTTTCACTGTGTTTTGGATTAGAAAAATGCAAAACCTTAAAGAGAAATTTAGTTGCTACCTGGTTTCGTATTAAGATTAGAACACAAACCCATCAGCTGTCTTACTTTCACTTGAAATTTCAGCCCATATTAGCAACACTTTGTTCATCCAAAGAGTGAGCTTTAACTCTGTACCAAAACACGAAACTACAAATTTCAACCACAGTGAATAAATACAGTCAGCATTTCAGAGAATTGCAAGAATTCTGTTTCCTTATTGAATATAAAAACAAATTTTACGTCTCCATATACTGAGCCATTTGGGATTACAAAGTCTGTTGCTTTAAAAATAATTACCAAAACAACTAGTTCTTAGGCTCTCTTATTTCCATACCTGAATTTGGTTAAGGAAAATTCTTCTAACAACTTCATAATTGGGTTTGCAGAGACAATTGTAAGTAGAATGTAGTATTAAATTGGTCCGATTTCATATCTATGGTACACCTAAAGGGTTAAGAATGATGTATAAATGTTACAAGCATGTTATAACCACCACTATGTGTTATAGATGGCTTTAAACATCAGCAGGTGTTGTAAAACTAACAACTGATTAAACATTTATTAAAACATCTTAATTTATTAATCCTTTATAAACTACTTACAAATCAACCTTGAGACACAGTGTGATTCTTCAATCAAATGTAATTGTGCTGAAAAATAAAAACTAGCCACAACCAGATCATAAATAAAAAAATTTATATGGAATTCCAGTACAAACACCCATGGCTTAAATTCGCAGAATTTTTAGTATAAAAAGTAATTTTGCATAACATTTCCATGAAAAAGCCATGTAACAAAAAATGTTGTCCAACAGAGTAATTATAGTCGAAGATTTACACAGGTTAGTATTTCACTTGAAACTTTATCGGAAGCATAAGTAGAAAAGGCAAAGCTTCATTTGTTCCCTCTTTAGAAATGTAGCCTTAACATTTCAAGACTGACTTGTTGGTTTGTGGATGCCTCACTTTTTGGATGCTCATGTTGTGACACTTTCAGGGGGTCTGATTTCCAGAACATGCTGGGCACCAGTCTCTGAAAAGTAAGTCTCATAACTGGGAATCCAAAATCACTAGTCGCCCTTTGAAAGTCTGCCTTCCCCATGAGCAGATCTTACCAGCGTTAACGGTGCTACATTTACTCAAACCATTTCAGCCAACTGTGTGAACAACAGCTTCTTTTCAAAAGACATTTTGTTTATATTCCAAATGCAAGGACAAATTCTACTTCTGTGACATGATTCAGAACAGAGGACGGAGGTGATGAGATGACAAACGGTCTTCTCAGTTGGCACAAATGAGAGGTATTAATCCTTTAAATAACCCAAAAACACAGACGATGCTAAAATTGCAAGTCTAATACTGACGTAAACATTTCAGTACTATACTAACATGACTTAAGGTTAAGAAGACATTTTTCAGTGAAAAGGTATAAGCCCTCCATATATTATTCAGGACTGACACTGCTATTATTGCACGGTTACCACATTAATCATTAAGGAGAAATCTGCCCTTTATAATGCCCTTTAATACCACCTGTTTCTTAAGCCAAACAGTAGATTTCCTCCATGAGCCAAGAGTCACTACTGTTTTGTTGCAAGTCTATTTGACAAAGAAAAATGACATTCTTAAAGCTGAGGAGGTGTTATTAATGTCTGTACAGCACTTTGAGAACTGAAGTGTTCTATAAATACAATATTCAGACCCACTGTACTTCAACTCCATTTGCAATACAAGAGATCAACTGTCAAACCAAAGTTAGCACTAATCTTCCTTATTAGTGGGAGTGTGGAAATAAAGGGGCCAACATATATGGGGCCTGATGTTTGAAACACCTTAAAATGAATGTATCATCACTCAAACAGAATGTCAGATTCACACAAAACGTAACTAGGGGGGAGATGAACAGCTGCCATTTACTACGTGCCTAAAGATCTGCTGTTCAGGCACAAGTCTCACTTGCTTTATGTCCCTTCATCTACAACAGAATTGAGATTTCATGTCTTCTTTAGACTTCGGTTTTCACTGAACGCTTTCTACAGCCCAAAGCTGAAACAACATGTGACACGCTCCTTGACTTCAACGGGAGTTACTTGAACAGAAGGGACTCCAGAAATTAGCTTATGTAATTAACGTTTTGCTGTTTCTCAGGACATCTTGTAATCCCTGCGTCTTGTATGGCAATAAGCTTGTTATATAATTTGTTAAGATCTCTTAGTTAACGCAAACAGAGGTGTAACTCTTCGCAAGATTAACAGATTTTTCAACACCGGGATGTCAAGCTTTTCAAAAACAGGTGCCTATAAAGTTACTCCTCACTTAATTCTTAGGCAGCTAAGCTAGAGGAAGATTTTTTAAAGGCTTTACACCTAGCATCCTGCACTGCAGTCACTAGGAGGTGCTAGATGCTCTGTACTTTTGAAAATTAGGCCTCTAATTTAGATGCCTCAAGAAGACTTTATGAGGCCAACTTTAAGCTCTTATTTTTTTTAAATCTTTGCCATCACTTTTTGACATTTTTAATATGGACATTTCTCTCCCTCCAAATCTTTTTTGGGAACAACTCAGGACTCTACTCTGTAGGAAATGCCCTTTTCTTTTTATACAACACAAGTCAATGTTTTCAATGAATTCCTGATGGACACAATCCCCTATATTTTCAGGGTCAAGCAGAGTTTTAAATCCATGACTCACTGAAGATGTCATCAACTTGAAACCTAGTCAGGTCACTGAAGATATGACACTTGGTCTGCTTGTCCTAGCCAGTTTTGGTGATTTTAATATTTTCCTATTCTTAAAATATTTTCCCATCTCGCTGTCTGAATTACCGACACACACAAGGAAAACTGACTACATAGAGGAAATCGTGAAATAGAGTATACAGTTCTGTTAAATGCACGACCATGGTTTTTTTCCCCCCAATCTTTTCTATTTACAGTAATCTTGCAACCGATGTAGGCAAAAAGTAATTTTTTACATTGACTGTATCGCTTTAAAGACAATGGACCTCGGCTGCACAGCTTAGCACCACTTCTGAAAGTTTAGGGGACTGTGTCCAGGCAAGCCAAGCCATCTGTTCTCATTTTAGTGCATTGCAACAATTTAATTTCCATCATATCTATTTAAGAACTTTCGCTGCATCTATCTATAATCCTGAGTGCTGGAGAAAAAAAGAGTCTAATCTTCATGGCCGTATGAACAGTCTAAATATCTGAGTATATGCAGAAGGAAGTACTGCCCCAATTCTGATCTCCTTTATGCTCAAGAGTTCAGTGAAGTTGCACCTGTTTTACACTTGTACAACAGACCAGAATCAGGCCCTATGACTGTAGGATTTATACTAGATTAACAAATGTTGTACATTTGGAAACATTTAAAAAACAGCGAGACACAGTAAGTTAGATTGCTTTCTGCTAAATAAAATCTTCGCATTAACAGTAAAACAACTCCCAAGACAGATATAAACTGGCCCTGTCAAGACTGATTGTCTCCAAGAAATCACCTTTGTGCACTGGTAATATCCCTTTTCTAACACCAGGGGGCAACCATATTAATCTCACAGAATACTCCTTTTTCTCACAAAAGGAAATGAAGAGACTAATGCTAGATGGCCGGGTTTATGCAATATGGTAATTAAATATGCAGTACGAAAGATGGAAACAACCTTTCTGCTTCTTATCGTGCAATCTGGATCAGCATGCTGCCAAAGTGGGAATGTACAGGATTATCCTTCAGATATTCATTCACTTAATGGATGTGGTTATTTAAAAAAATTCTTAATATAAGTCATGCCAATTAAAATGAATAAAATGCGGATTTCTTGAATAAACTCGACAGCAGGAGGTGTTGTCAGCAGATTAGCTAATGAGCCATTTCCACTTTGTGCAATTTGACAGATGCATGTCTATGTAGACAAAAGATAGCCGTGTAACCAAAAACTATTTCTTTCATTTCCTGGTGTGTTTTTCCCACTACTTCCGTCATTAAAGCCAGCACACTAGAGGTGAAACTGTAAGTGATTTTTCAGTTAATATTACTAAAGCAGTTCTGACTGCCAACTACTCTGGGCTGGAAACAGCAAAAAAATAATACTGAAGTTCTTTGTATATGACTAGCTTGTACTGGTGAGAAATGTGGCATTTACTGTCTTAGACAATTACTTCTCACTGCAACATCTTAAAGGAAAAAGGCTACACTTTTGCAAAAATTCCTTGCTCTCACTAAATCATTTCCCTTTCAACCACCAAGGTTCAAAAATGTCATTTTAAGCATCTAGTTGTTTATGTTCCATAGCCAAAGGTTTTTGATGATCTAAACCCCTTAAATGATTAAAATCACCAGCTGATATAAGCCTGACTTGTGCACTATACCTTTGAATAATCAACAGTTGAGAAGCTTTGGGTGCTCTTCAAGCATAGAATAAAACTAGTCACTGTTATATTATGGTATAGTTTCAAAATAACTATTCAGCAGAAAAAAAACGAGAAAAAAAGCAACATAATGAAGGTGCTTCAGTTGAGTTGATGAACGCAAAATCACCAAACACAAAGTTGTTTTAATGGAAGACAATTAAGATGCCTCTGTCTGCTGTTTTATGATGTGCCTGATGGTCTTATGGCATTTAAGGAACATATTCAGACAAAAAGAAAAGGAAATCAAGACTCCTGCTACGTTTCTTCTTGAGGTTTGTGAATTCAAATTCTCTTGCCTCATCTTGCTTAGAGCAGTGTCTATAAAGGAGCACAAGCATGAACAAGCATCTCATTACCAAGTCTTTCATCCCCGTGGTCATGTTCCCCACTCCTTAAATCTCTAAGCAGATCAAATCATACTTATGATTTTGATTGTCATGGCTAACATAATATATAAAGGCGTGCTTATAAAAATGAAAGTCTATGAGCAAACATTGGCTTAGAAAAAAGAAAGAAGAAAGAAGCCAACTGATGCAGAGCAGAGGTTTTGTTTTACGTAAACACAAATTACAAATCAAGTGTTTGGCTTCAGCTGCAGACCAGAAGGGCCCCAGATATTTCTTTGGTCCGAGTTTATGGAAAACACCAAGGAAACTATAGTCCATTGTCAGCCACCTGGCTTTTACGTTGCCGTACTGAGCTTTGGGTCTCCGAATCAGTTGGCTGTTGTTCACAGATGTCTTCTGTCTCTTCTGTCCCTGATCCTTCATCAACGGCAGAGTCCTCTTCTGAGCCATCCTCACTTGAATTGGCCTCTTCACTTGATTTGGCTCCATCTTCCCCATCTGAAATGTCTTCCTTTTCCTCTGCAGCCTCTTCTAACTCATTTGCTGAAAACTCTTCAGCTTCTTCCACCTCTTCTACTGCTGTAAGCTCTGCATTCTCCCTTTCAATCAACTCTACTGAAACAAAATACAAATTGAAAATGTTTAAATCATAGGACAACTCATCTGCTAAAGCCTCTTTTCTAGTTACTACACTACCCCAAGAGTGCAAAAAATTGCAAAATATTCTTTATGAAAAAATCCTTGGTGTAATTCTAATGTAGCATCATCATCTTCTCATTTTATTATTT